TCATGAATTAAATATGTCAGAATTTTGCATGTGTCTGCACTGTAGTATCCATCTGTACAGTACAGATAAGAAACTAATCCAAACCAAATGGAAACTACTTCCTGCCTGAATTTGGTTATTGTGGTATCTGTGTTGAACAGCAGACTTTGTTGGACCTCATGACTCAAACTGTGAGATAAAACTAAATGTCACTGCAGGAGATAAAAAGCCAAAAATCATTACAACAAACAAACACAATGCTTCAGTGCTGCACTAAAATAGTTTGTTTTCACATCCATTGTACTAGGGTGGTGGCAGAAGTAGACACAGGTCACAAATGTGTCACATACAAACTATATAGGTGGTTACATACCACAAGAAGGTTAAATGACCCGTTAAATGGAACAAAATGCTTCAACTGACAGCAGATGAAAACAGACACATACCCATCTTGATGAGCACCTGTATTAATAAATGTAGTATGTTTTATTCCACACATATATTTGGTGGTTTGAAACATTATTGTGCACCTGAACTGTGAGGATGCCTGTTGTATACAGATACTCCGAATGATCAAAACAAGACCTTAATAGATGTGTAAAAAATAATTATATATATACAATAAAACTTGGATATTTGATTATTGCAGCATTAACTGATGGATTATTACAGACAACATCATGTAGTATAAACATTATTACACCATATTGAAACAAACACAACCAAACTAATACCTATATGTATTATATATCTTTATCTGTAAAGCGTCTTTGAGCACCTGTAAAAGCGCTAACAAATTAAATCTATTATTGTTATCTTGAAAAGCAGTAATGATATCAGTAATAAATAAACCAAATGTCTAAACAAAAAAATAGCAGTACATCAGTTGTTCAATCTGTATACATTGGGTGAGTTTTGTCTTTAAAAATATTCTGGGCCTCTGTTAGGAACATGTTAGCAAAACCATTACTTTAAGGCCCTGACACACCAGGCCGAAATCGCCCGTTTTCGTTAGTCGGACGACGAAGCGTGCCCTGTCGCCCAAACTCAATTTGGTGTGTCCCGCACCGTCGGCCGTGACACGCCTTAAGGCCCTGACACACCAACCCGATTTTGGGAGTCAGAGGCCATCAGAGGCTGTCGGGCATTCGCGGCGCCGTAGTCAGGTTGGTGTGTCCCGCACCGTCTGCCATGACACGCCTTATTTGGACTGCCTGACCCGATGCATGGCTGATTCAACATGTTGAATCGGCCATGCATCGGGTCAGGCAGTCGGACCAAGCAATCACTCTGATTGGCTGTTCAGCTAGCGAAACGGAAGTGAGGGACGTAAACAAACGATTTAAGAAGTCACACACAGACCAGACACAGACCAGTGTTGCCAACTTGGCGACTTTGTCGTTACATTCGGCGGCTTTCCAAACCCTCCGGCTACTTATTTTTGTCAAAAGCGACTAACGACTGATCTAACGACTTGTAATGGTGTTATTTGGGACTTTTCTGGTGTTTGGAGACTGTCGTATTGTTCTGCAGTTAACGAGCTGCCGTGAGCCCCTCAGCCCTCTGACAGGCGCGCAGACTCACAGTTGCCTCCCGCAGCAGCTCCGCTGCAGTGAGAGCAGAGGAGACAGCCACACTCTCCCGCGTCGAGACAGCTTCAGTCACTTAATCACCTCGTCCACTGTGTGTGTGCCTCTCTGTGACAAGCTAAACATCCACGTAGGTCATCATGTCACAGTCTAAACTGTATTCACAAAAGTACAGAAAGGAGTGGGAATCAAACCCTGAGTTTAAAGGATGGTTGAAGCCATTTATTGGAGATGACACACGGGCATACTATACTGCCTTTATTGTAAGGGATATTTCTACTAAAAACTACTCAAACTATTTCTACTTTCTACTATAATACATGATAAAATATGTATTGATTATATTTTGTAGTGTTCGGAATCTTCAAAGTTAACTGAAGTTATCAAATAAATGTAATGTAAAACTGAATCAAACCATAAACAAGGTTGCCTGTTGGGATTACTATATATATATATATATCTGCATTATTTTATCCCACTTTATGCTTTGCTCTTGCTGCTTATTTTACACTGATTTTATATCTTATTTCTTACTGATGTAAAGCACTTTGAACTGCAATCCCCTGTATGAAAGGTGCGATACAAATAAAGTTATTATTATTATTCAGATGGATGTTTCTGCCCCTCTGTTCATTCTCTCATTATCCTCCTCAATCTGCCTAGAAGTATTTTAATGTTGTAGCTGTTACTATAACCAATACTAATGCTAGGGCTGCAACTGACAGTTATATAGGCACATTGTTATTGTTTCTTATCGCTAACCCCTTATGACTGATAGCTCCAGTGCCGCACGAAACATGTTTTCGATGGACGAGAGTGAAAATGGAACGCACACGCTATTTGTTGTTTGTTTATATCACTATCTGTTCTTCTTCTCTGTCTTCCGGTTGTTGTCTCTTTTGAATGACGAATACACACTACCCCCGCCTGCTGGTAAGGAGAGTTATTGCCACTCACGCATGCGCATTTCATACGTGCTCGGCTGAAGTCTTTGCGGTGTGTTCCAGTGCGACACATGGCCAAGATGCAGGAGAACACGGCGACGCAACAGTCGGCGTCAGCGAGTTCTCTGGTAACTGCTGCTTGGTGTGTCAGGGTCTTAATATATTACACATGCATCACAAAGAACCATTAGCTTGTATAATGAGTTATGTTTCTGGCGACCAAACAAATGTAGGCCCAGGATTTAGAATCTTTGAATTGGGGAAAACATCTGACTAGCAGCCTAATGCTCAACATTGTTTGCCAGCTATTCACTAACTGAATGGATGTAGGAAACACCCTCATAGCAATCTTTCCACACATTGACATAATTCATTATGTAGAAACAGGCTGAAACAAGTGCTGCATTTTATTTTGTATTTATCTTTGAATTAGAGTCACCAATGGCCTAAAACAATTTTTTTTTAAATATAGCTGAATTGTGCTTTGTATACATGACCAAAGGGGGTACATGGTGGGGAATGGGCAGTTTTCCATGCATTGGCTGAGCTTTAGTGACCCTGGGCACCAACATTTGGATTAGCAGCAGGTCATCATGGTTTATTACACAAAGTCCATCAGACAGCACTACGGAAAGCACCTCTAACACTTCACTCTGCTCAACCACCGCTTCCCTCGATTAAAATGCACAACTCTGTTCACACTCCAGTACACTTAGCCTTTGTTCCACTTCATGCCCCAGCAGCCCTCCACCATCATTTATTCATTGACACACAACAAACCAAAGGCAGGATCACAAACAGAAGAAACATTTTGGCGTTGAATACTTATTGATGCGATACTGCTGGAAAACTTCTCAAATACAGTATCACAAGAACTCACACGTTTTCTTTGTAATGTTCCATCTTTTTGCATCTGTTCCAAGCACTTAAAGCTGTAAAGTGTACATTTTTCATATTGCAAAAACATTCTGTAGTGTGGCACCAGACATATCAGTCATTTTTAAAAGCTGTAACATACCTGGAGTTTGATATCCACAACCGGATAGTACAAATAAATGACTGTTTGAAGTAAAAAATAAATTCAGATAACTTGAGGCTAAGGCTGTTCTTCTGTGGCCAAGAAGCGTGGTATATGTTGTACTAATGGCTTAAATAGCTTCCACTGTGTTCTAGTATCTAAGAATGTAATGTGATTACCTAGCCTTTTTATTTAGAATGCTGATGCATAGTGTCTTACTGTCCAAATCATTAGCATGTATTGACAAAGGACACCATGTTTAATATGTCTGAGAACAACTTCCAGTATTCCTCCTTTTTTCCTAATTTCATTATAATAACAATTTAAAGGACTTCAGACTGACTTGAAAGGGAAAATATATCACGATAGGTTATAATATAGTGTATATAGAACTGTTAAGACTGTTGTTTTTAAGGACGCTCCAACATCTTATAGAGAAACCAGATAATAATTTCCACCAACATAGCTGGAAGTTCTTCAGGTTTTGTCCATCCAGATTGAGAAGTGAAGAAAGAATGTGCATACTTTTACCACTTCTGCTGTCATTGTGGGTGGTGAGAGAATGAGTGTTCCCCTATAAGACCACCACTCATCGACTGGATGTACACAAGGGCCCGACGCAGGACCAGATGTTGTTGTGTTGCTGCCACAGAGTCACTCACATTTTCATTAATCATTATCCAAACACTCCTCTACTCTTCTTAAATAATCGAACACATGGGCAGCCTTGTCTGTCACTCTGCCCACTACAAATGCGTCGCCCGGCCCGCTGTTCATCAAAGTCCCACATCATGAAACAGCCTGAGCCGCTGATCTCCTTCTAATTTAATGATAACTATCACCTGTTCGCAAAGCGCAGCAAGACACTCTAGATGGTGTGTGAGTAATTGGCCTGTGCCTTTTGCTTGATTAATTTGATTGCTACATTTTTCACTGTCCCATCTCTGGTGATTGCTCTGGCACTACAGGTGCTAGGTTTCATTAATTACGTCCTTAATTGGTTAGGAAATGTTGCAGGCAAGTTTGTTTTGGGGGAAGGTTGCTTTTTTTGCGAACGGCAAAACATCTCAGCATGTTTTTCCCACTTAAAAAGATAAATTAACCTCATCTTTTCTGCAGATTGTGTTGAAGATTCCAGGAGGTATCAATACTCAAGGACAACCAGCTGCGGGGACTGTTTGATAGAAGATGGAGAAGTCTGGAAGCTAATATGCATTCTTGCCCACTTTTGTCCTCTGCATGTATTATCTAAAGACTGAAATCTCAGAACAACAGAAAGTTGACTGCAACTTCAGCATGTCCCAGAGGTAACATACTATTGAATACACAACTGTGTTTTTAGGTTCATCTTGCAGCATGTCTTTGTACAGATGTAACCTGAAGCAATGATGATGCTAAAGATCCAGTGTCTGAAATTTTACATCTGGGACCGCAACATTCATTTTTTATTTTCAGATGCAAAACATATACAATTTAAATCACCATGTGCCTCCAATTCCAGTTTGTTTTCCTGGTTTTCTGGGGTTTTCTATCAGAACAAGAAGTGTGACCAGGGCGCTGAGTAAAAAAGAAATCCCTCAAGGAGCCTTTCTTCTGCCATGCAATTATCACTTCAAAGAGTCAGTGATGGTAAATGATACAGCTGTCTCTTTCCATGATGGGATATCCATTCTTCTTTAATATAGTATCATGGTTTGCCTCTTGTTTGATGTAACATTGGATAAAAGGGTGTGTTTCATTTCTCAGAATCAAAAAGTGACCAGTAGGACACAAGCCTGCAGTGGATGCAGTAATGCTGCCCTTGAGTGGTAATGTTGGTTTTTTATTTTCTTTACTGTGATATGCTCCATTGGTAGCTCAGTGGGCAACAGCTCCAACTGGGGTTGGGTCCAGACCCTCATAAAATGGACCAATGAGCATGTTCTCAGATTAAGATTGATTTTTCTGACAATCTGATGGTGATCAACTTATAAGACATACAGCACCAACAGCGCCGTAAATACAGAGCTTTGGTTATATCGGTTATGTGGGGACTGTTTACTCTGAGTTTTTTTTATGTCAAAGCTTGAGAGCGATAAATATTTATGGTCTGATTGCAAGGCAGTATTTCTCCCTGTCATTATTCAAACAGGCATGATGAGCATCTCAAGAAGGGAGTTCGACCCAATCTCGTACAGGTATCTGCCTCTCCTTCACTTCCTCTGTCTAGCCTCTCTGAGGTTTCCTTAACCCTTGTATGGTATTCAGGTCTGTGAGACCCGTTTTCATTATTTAGCTAAGAAAAATTATATGATAAATAATTTTTTCTAACCCACACTCAATGGCCTTGGCACATTTTCTGTGAAGAACATATCAGAACACATTTTCAATGACCACCCTCTGTACCCCCCCCCCCCTCCTACACATTTACATTGCATACAGGGTGTTCGGGGCTAACAAAGGTGTGTGTGTGTGTGTGTGTGTGTGGTGTGTGTGTGGTGTGATGTGTGTGTGTGTGTGTGTGTGTGTGTGTGTGTGTGTGTGTGTGTGTGTGTGTGTGTGTGTGTGTATGTGTGTGTGTGTGTGTGTGTGTGTGTGTGTGTGTGTGTGTTGGGTGTGTGTGTGTGTGTGTGTGTGTGTGTTGTGTGTGTGTGTGTGTGTGTGTGTGTGTGTGTGTGTGTGTGTGTGTGTGGGTGTGTGTGTGTGTGTGTGTGTGTGTGTGTGTGTGTGTGTGTGTGTGTGTGTGTGTGTGGGTGTGTGTGGTGTGTGTGTGTGTGTGTGTGTGTGTGGTGTTTTTCTTCTTCTTCTGCCCCTGCCATTCCCATTCCTGCACAAGGTTGCAACATTGTTGATAAATTCAAGCACCTGTCTGCTCTCACATTCCCGCATTATGTTTTGCGGGAACCAATCTTTATTTTTTTCACACTCTATCCAAGCTGCACATTTGGGGCAAGACACAATAAATAAAGCTTTGCCATTTTGGGTCCTTATCACAACTGATTAAGGTGGCCAAAAGATTCTCTGCTCAGAGGCCCTTGCAAATTATTCTGGAAGAGAGTGAACCATTTGATGATGATGTAGACTAGGAAGAGGAAGAGGCTTCAGAATGTGAGGATCTAATTTCTGAGAATTCAGAGTCTGACAGTGACTTTGAAGAAGAGGATGAGATTGAGCATCAGCTAGTTACAAAAAAAAGATGAGCCACAGGACCAGCCGGTCAGTGGGCAAAAAAACGAGTAGCACTTTAATTCATTAATGTGATCTAACAAATGTAAAAGGGCAAATATTAACCATATATGTTGTTTATATTGCTTGTAATTGAGATGAAGTAAACATCTGTTGAGTATTTTAACATAAAATAGTTTGATTGTGTTGAATTGAAGCCCAAAAAGGCAGCCGGTCCACCAGACCCACAAACACTGGCTGAGTAACACAAATATGAACACCATACAAGGGTTAAAGGTTCACTATTATACTCTTTTTCATCAATATATTATAGGTCTCAGATATATACAAAACATGTCTCTGAAGTGTTTGGCTCCAAATATCAAACAGATCGTGCATTGTCGCATGCCATAAACCCCTCTGAGCCCTGTTTCAAAAGTGCTGGTTACACAACCCAAAATACAGTATGACATCATAAAGTGGGCAAAATCGGATCAGCTAATTTTCAGACAAGTTTTTTTATAAATAGTTCAGGACAAAAAGTGAGCAAATCTTTTCTTCTGAAACGTTCAGAATCTCTTAACGCAGACACATATTTATGTATAAAAGACATGAAAAAGTGGATTTTGCATAAAAACCTTTAAATCATTTTCTTTTTAAGTCTCCCTTTTTCTATTTGAGTGTTGTGTCTACTAATATTGATTATTACATGGCTTAGTTGAATACTCGATTCTGATTGGTCAATTCAGAACACGTGACACGTTGTTAATCCAGTATAGTACAGACCGCTGTCAAGGATTTATTGACCGTTGTTAAGGACGCTCACATCTGCAGAAAGAAGTCCGGTCGATTTATACAGTTTCATCAAACTGTTTGCTTGTTTTTAGTTTTCCGTTGTCTACCGTCTGAGAGCAACATGGAGGATTTTAATATTAATAATATATTTGGAGAGCACAGGATGAATGGTTAGTGGCTGAGGAGTCCCCAGTGAAGAAAATAAAGAGGAACAAGAAAACAGCGGAGAAGTAAGAGAGGCGAAAAGACGGACCACATTATGGGCTATGAAACTAGGCTCATTTAAAGACTATAGCTGATCAGCTACGGGGCAGAAACCCTCAACACGGAGCTGCGGCCCTTTTTACGCAACAGTCCAGACATTAGACGGCAAAACATATTCAGTTGCCAGTTACTTTGGCATTAGGGCAGGGATATCTAGATACTTTCCAAGGTTTGATAATGAATTGTGCTACTTTTAAAGCAAGCAACGATGTTTTCAAATATGGAATCAAAAAGCTATCGAAGCAGTTCCTGCCGTTGCTACGTAGTTCAAACGGTAACAACAGACTATTTTTCTTAGTGGATGCATGTCATTTTAAATCAATACAACTATTTTTGAAATCAATAATACTATCTGAATGAATGTAAACAACAAATGAATAACCAAATTAAACCAAATTTAAAGCAAATGTAAAGGACTGCAAGGAATAAACAAATTAAATCATACTCATACGTACCACCATGTGCCAGTACTTTAGGGTGGGCCTGTAAAAAATAGGGTGGGCCAGATTTTTCTTCTGCGCATCAGAAGCTAACAACAATCCCCGCCGGTACCGGTGGCAGATTATTTTTAGAATACTTTTGGAATACTTTATTTTTCCATAACAGATGGGTATGTTTTGGTGAACAGGAGACACGTATTTTACTGTTTTAATGGCTTATCAAGAACTCAAACACAACATCTTGGTGTCATTCTGGACAGCTCTCTCATACCCCACATAAAAAACATCACCCGTACTGCATTCTTTGTACCGTCTTAAAACCTTTCCTTCGAATATGTTATGAATTGTAAGGTGTCCTTGGTGCTTTGAAAGGCACCCCTAAATAGAATGAATTATCATTATTATGTATTATTATTATCTGAAACGATGTGATAACTTTTAAAACTTTTTCCAGTCACTGGCCCCATGCATTCAGCAGCAGCAGGCCATTCACTTTGATTTTATCCCGTTATAAATGTCATCATTTCGACAATAAAGAAATGCTACATAAACATTATCTTGCACATTTTACAACCATCTCCGTTTCTAACTTTGAATATATTTTAAAAGAGATCTCTCTCTCATCTGCGTGCGGGGGCGGGGCCTCACAGACACGCTGCATCTCTCTCTCGCTCACAGACATGCTGCAACGCTGTGCAGTGTGCACACAGTTCTGCCGGTAATGAATATTACATTTTGTGAGGAAACTTTTCCACCAATAATTCCAATAAGTATTCCAAAATGTATTCACTTTAGGTTTACGAAAGTAACTAATCAGATTACTCGTTTTTCAAATGTAACGGCAGCTGAATACACTTGATTTTTGTATTCTGATTACGTAACGCCATTACATGTATTCCGTTACAACCCAACCATGTGTACAGGGCCGGCCCTCGGCATAGGCAGTATAGGCGAATGCTAAGGGCGCATCAACCCATAGGGGGCGCCGAAAATTGGGGGGGGAAAAAAAGTTAGAAATGAAAAAAAAAAAAAAAAAAATGTGTATTTCATAACAACAACATTTCCTGATTTTGGATCAACAAAGTACATTTATTATCTTATAGTAACAGAACTACGCCTATATTGCGTACAGCGCCCATAAACTATGGCACACACCCCCCCCCAAATCAAGTTGAACTGCCCCAGCCCCAGTAAAAACCAGAGGTTTATGTGAAATTGTTCTTTTTTTGAAATAATGGTTTTAGTGTGCAATTATAGGTTTTAATTTTGTATTTGTGTTAATTTAAAATAAATCAAACTCCTCAAAAACGTACACAGCTTCTGTGTGCTTTTATTAACATTGGAATTTACTGTTTAAGCGGCCGCGGGGGGAGAGCTTTGGAGAGCTCTCTCCTGAAAGACTGAGCGGCTCTGAACCTCAGCTCAGTGAGGTAAAGGCACACCTTGATATGATCATTATAGTTATAAAAAAATAAGAGAATAGGTGAAAAACAGGTATAAAATACTATATGACAGTACAAAAAAGTTGTTATTAATAAACAAGAATACAGTTTGAAAGGTGAGTGATTTGTAAAATATCCATAAAGAAAAAGAAAATCTGCTTACAGTTCTGTTTCATATGGGTGTTGAGAGATGTATCCATAGATTTCCTGATGTTGCTCTCAAAGTGCACCAGATTGATGCTTTTAACTTCAATATTAAAAAAAAAAAAGTCTTCCCGGGGGTGCATGCCCCCGGACCCCCCTAGAGGAGGTGAGGTCCCCCCCCCCCCACTTAAATCATGTTCAAATGGATAGGAAACTAAATACAGTTACAGTCTTTTTGTTTTGGTGGTCATGCCACAACCGTGCACTCGCGAGTCATAGTAAGTGTCAGTGTCTGCATTTGGGGGGGGGGGGGGCGCCAGCTAAAATCTTGCCTAGGGCAGCAAATTGGTCAGGGCCGGCCCTGCATGTGTATATCTCTCTGGACTGTCCACCAGCAGATGAAAAACACCCACCTCTCCCAAGGGACGAGGGAACCGTGCGGCAGAGTTTCCGTTAACATTTGTTTTTCTTCTGACAGCCCAGCAGCAGGAGAGGTGGGGAGAGGGAGACGTGGGGAGAGGGAGGCGGGGCTATTTCATCGTTATCAGAAAATGATCGTATAGATCACTGCTAGATGAGGGCAGTGGGGGCTCTTCTTGGAGTCTGGCTTTTAAAAAAAAAAAAAACTGAACTTTGAGCCATCATTTATTTTGCAGGCAGCTCTCTGCTTCTCTCACGTTATTATGGCACGCGCCGGAACCAACAATCAGTTTTTTACCGTAAATGAGTTCGGTTCAGAGGACAAAACACATACAACATTAATTAAACTCGATATTTGTTCACTTGAATTTCACTTTGAATTCTTGGATATTCTCAATGAGTGAATACATTTTTTTAATAATAATAATACAATTTAAAATGACACCGAAGCTTTCTCAGGGTGGGCCAATGAGTAAACTGGGTGGGCCTGGGCCACACCACTGCCCTGTGCAGCCAGGCGCAGCCACA